AAGTGATCAATTAGAAAAGTTCCAACGCAATTCATAGGACATACTTGAAAATGAAATTGTACGTTTCCTTGTAAAGTACATTGTAACTCCTGGATAGAAAGTTAGAAGCTTAGAGAGTGCTAAGATCATCTTCAATATGTTGAAAAATGGTTTTGGAATATTGCATATATATATATATATATATATATATATATATATATATATATATATTTGAGCTTAATGTCAATCCTGCATTAGCTTCCAATCCTTATCTATAATTAATTAATGATGAACATGTCATTTTCGATTATCGATTTTATCACGATTACTCAGTTGAGCTTGGGGAGTAATTCTTATTGCACAAAGTATAGTGCAATTTTTTTTATACAGAAAAAAAATTGGATAATTCCACGAAGATATCTTTAATAATTTAAAGGATACAGCCGATGAGACCTTAATTTAAAACTTTTGCTGTCAAACGATGTGGACAATTTTCTGTGACATCCGTTGGTTTCGAATTTTACATAACTTACATGCGGAAGTAGGAATTTTTAAAACAATTACCAGACGTAGATGAGAGTTTGGTTTATGGATTTTTGCACATCCGTATGAACAGCCGAGACGATACGCACCCAAATCTTTGTAAAGTTTCATTTAATCCTTCTTTTGCCACGAGTTTTCGCAGAAACAGGGTTAAAAGTGGATGATTAATCTTTTTTAATTTATTCGATTGCTTTATATTCCCTGATGAATTGTTCCTTAATTATTTTATGCGAATTTAATTTTTCAAAAATCAGATCCTGGTGTTACGTCTTTCAGCATCACACACAACCACACACACACACACACACACACACACACACACACACACACACATATATATATATATATATGTATATTTACAAATTCATGAATTATTCACACAAAAACAAAAGCAAAGGTTAATGATTTAATTGGCGAGAAATCCATCATCGCAAACAATTCAAATAATATACAAAAACCTCCGAATCCGTTATGAATGAACTGATCCTTATTTCCATAAATTTCTGCCGTATTAGTTCTTATTTTTACTACAAGCTTTCGTCTGTTCATAATATATATATATATATATATATATATATATATATATATATTATGAATCATTTGTAATATTTGCTATTATTACGATCCAGTTGTATTATATATCAACAGATTTATTACTTGTACTATATATATATATATATATATATATATATATATATATAGTACAAGTAATAAATGATATATATATATATATATATATATATATATATATATATATATATATATATATATATGAAGAAATATAGTCTTAAGGTGTGCTACATTTATGGGATAAAGTGCTCAATATCAGAAATGGAGAGTGTGTAAATATAAAAGTGAACATTGAAATCAACACTTAGAGGCGACATTCTGTTTCATACTAGACGCAATCGTCAGGCCAAGAGTGCCGTGTTTTTGTCTCGGTTATTTATATATACGGGACAGTGGTGCATTGTGTGTAGTCTATTTTGGCACTTATTTTGCCGGAAGTCTTTATTTGTTTATTTATTTGGGTTAAATAATTTTGCTTATTTTTATTTTTTTTATTTCTATATATATTTTTATTTTTTAGTTTTATTCTCATCTTATATATTTATTTTTTAATTTATACTTTAATCGGTGTTTTAGTAACCTGGTAAAAATTTGTTTATATCGCTTATTTAGTACTTTTGGAGTTGATTATTATAGTTTATTCTAACTATTGTTTTGGCGGGAGCAGTTTTTAATTTGTTTATTTCTTCATGTATTCATTTAGATTAATTATTTTTTCTAACGGTTAATTTATCGGGATTAGTTTGTTAGTTTTTTTTTTGTTTATATTAATTTTGATTAATTTATTTTACTTATTTTTCAGCATTTATTTATTATACTGTATATTTTTATTTAATCTTTTCGGGTTTCGATTTTTAAGTAACGTAGAATTTTTTATCGTTGTATAACAGTTATAGCTATGTTATTCGTCCGATTATTAATCTGATTTTTATAGTCTAACTAATATTTTTCATAATGGTTTGTCAATTTGTTTATTATTTACTTTATTTATTTGGGTT